GCCGACGACTGTACCAAGACGGGCGGACGGGCGGGGACCGGGTGAGAGGACCCTCGAGCCACTTCCTCCTGGGTCGGAGCGGCCCTCGCCCGCTGGCAGGCATTTGTTGCCTCATACCTCCCAGCATTAGAACTATAATATCCACCAAATTAGACTACCGTTCACAACTCATCCCGGCTAGCTCAGTCGGTAGAGCGTCAGACTCTTATCCGGAGCCTCTGCGATTGATCGCAGAAACCAATCTGAATGTCGTGGGTTCGAGCCCCACGTTGGGAGATTTCTTTTTTCCTCGCTGACTTTTTTTCGTTTGTCCCCTCCAGATTTCGCTTCGGATGGACGGTGGGCCGCCGGCGGCGGCTGTCGTCGGCGAGGTCGGCGGTCCGGGTTCGATTGAGATTTTCTCGGCGAATTTTTCTCTGCATTTTTCTCGTTCTCGCCCGCTTTCCAGCCTCTGCTTCTGTCGGCTCGAGTCGAGGGATGGCGTGCACACGGCTGGGCAGGTGACGGGGAGCCGTAGCGTACCGTACCGCTCCGAACCGACCGAAGCCGGCTGGGGGCGCGAATCGATTCGATTCGTCCGCGGCAGAGCGGGACGAGGCAGGTGTGCTCGCGGCCGAGGATAACGCCATCCCTCGGCCCGCTTCCTTTCCCCTTTGCCATGTGGTCGACGACCGACGGGCTTCGATTGCCTCCTCGCTGGATTCGACCCAGACCAACGACGGATCGCGGGATGGCCTGGCTTGCGTACGACGAGGTCGTGTGAGCGGGTCGGCGGCATGGCCTCTTCTGGCGCCATTCGCGCGACCTACGCCTCGTGGCTTGTTGCCTTCGAGGGACGCTTCGCCGGCTCCGTCGTACGGTATCGGCAGCCCGTTCCTGGATCACGCGAGACGCGCATCGAGCAGAGCAGGGCCAAGCCAAGGTAGGGAGAGGAGAGGCGGGCGGGCGGAGGCGTAGAGAGAGTACGTACTGCAGATGGCCGTACCGTGGTCGTTCCCCGCTCCCCCTCCCCCTCACCGGCCAACAAAAGGCAAGCTGGCCTCCGAGGTGCGGCCAGGCTGACTTCCTGAGATCCTCCCCGCGCTCCCTCGCTGCGGACCACCACCATCCCTCCGTCTACCGGCCCACTTTGCCCTCTCCCTCCAGCGGCGGTCGCTGCTACTGCTGCTGCCCAGCTTGCTGTCTCCGCCATGACGGCCGACACGACGGCCGCCCCGCCGCCGCCCCTCGAGGCCACCTCTTCGTCGTCGTCGGATGCCGCCATCTCGCTGAGCCACGAGGGCCCGACCATGTCCTACCACCAGCCTGCCGCCACCACAGCTGCGGATGCTGCCGGCAGTGCAGCCGACGGTTTCGACGTCGAAAAGGTGGCCGCCGCCGCCGGCGCCTCCAAGGAGGACAGCAGCGGCGCATCCGTCCACTCGTCGCCCCTTTACCTCGACAGCAACGGCGACCTGGTCACGGTCAACGAGCACCGCGACCTCAAGCGCGGCCTCGGACAGCGCCACCTGTCGATGATCGCGCTGGCAGGCGCCATCGGTACGGGTCTCTTCCTCGGCCTCGGCGGGTCGATCCAGTCGGGCGGGCCGCTGGGCGCGCTGCTGGGCTACGCCACCGTCGGCCTCATCGTCTGCGCCGTCCAGTACGCCCTGGGAGAGACGTCGGCGCTCCTCCCCGTCACGGGTTCGCTGGTTCGCCACGCCGAGTTCCTCTTTGACCCGGCGCTCGGCTTCGCGGCGGGCTGGAACCTCGTCTATGGCAACCTGCTCTCCATCCCCTCGGAGATCACGGCCATCTGCGTCCTGATCGACTTCTGGGCCGAGGGGAGCATCAACAAGACGGCCTTTATCCTTCCCTTTATCGCCGTCACCTTCCTCGTGGGCATCTGCTTTGTCCGCGTGTTTGGCGAGGTCGAGTTCGGCATGGCCATGCTCAAGATCGCCCTCGTCATCTTCCTCGTCGTCTTTGGCCTGGTCGTCAACCTCGGCGGCGTGCCGGGCATCGAGCGCGTCGGCTTCCGCTACTGGCGCGACCCGGGCCCCTTTGTCGGCGACACGTCGTGGGCTCGGTTCCTCGGCTACTGGAGCGTCATGACCTCGGCCGTCTTTTCGTTTGCCGGCGTCGAGTCGCTCGCCATGGCCGCGGCCGAGACGCGCAACCCGCGCCGCGCCATTCCGCGCGCGTGCAAGCGCATCTTTATCCGCGTCACCGTCTTTTACCTGCTGAGCATCTTTGTCGTCGGCATGCTCGTCGCCAGCAACGACGGACGCCTCGACGGCTACGGCGAGACGGCCGCCCAGAGCCCCTTTGTCATTGCCGCATCGGCGGCGGGCTACCCGGCCGTGGCGAGCGTGGTCAACGCCATCGTCATCACCAGCGCCTGGTCCTCGTCCAACCAGGCGCTCCTCTCGGGCACCCGCGTCCTCTACGGCCTCGCGCTCAAGAAGCAGGCCCCCGCCCTGTTTCTCAAGACGACGTCGTGGGGCACGCCGTACAACTGCGTGCTGCTCTACACCCTCTTCATGTTCCTCAGCTTCATGAGTCTCTCCAACGACGCCCTGACCGTCTTCTACTGGTGAGCGGGGCCTGTGTTGCTGCTGATTCTGCTGCTGCTGCTGCTGCTGCTGCTCAGCCCTTGCAAGCGGTGGCTTTCGGGGGACGGAGTTTCGCTGACCCGCCCCGCCTCGACTTGCCTGCCTCCGCCCTTGGTCCTCGTGCTGTCCCCCCCTTCCTCCCCACTCTGTCCACGACGCCGACGACAGGTTCGTGGACCTGACCGCGGCCGGCGTGCTGGTATCGTGGTCCGTGATCCTCTTCAACCACATCCGCCTCAAGCGCGCCATGAAGGTGCAGGGCATCCCCTTTTCGTGCCTGCCCTGGAACGCCGGCTGGACCTACCACAGCTCGCACGTCGCCCTCGGCTTCTGCATCCTCATCCTCCTCACTAACGGCTACTCGGTCTTCACCACGGGCGGATGGGACGCAGCCACCTTTGTCTCGGCCTACCTCGACATCCCCCTCGTCCTCGCCGCCTACCTCGTCTGGAAACTCTTCAAAAAGACCAAGATCACGAGCCTCCCCGACATCCCGCTCCATGCTGCGTTTAGACAGGCCGAGGAGTTCCCCGATGAACCTGAACCCAGGACGAAGGGGTGGATCAGGTGCATCAGCTGGATCTGGGATTAGGCTCGAGCGCCGTCCTGCCGTCACGAATACACTACGATCGCATCGCATCTGTGCCCTGCCCTGCCCTGGCCTGCTCGCTGCTCGAGTCTGTGCCCGGATGCGGTGTCGCCCGGCGACGAGCCCCGCAAAAAGGGATGCGCCGACCGAGGAACGGAAGAGGCGCGAAAAGGTGATGCCCCGTACTAGGCTCGAACTAGTGACCTTCTGTTTGATACTCAGCTCATGCTGAGGCACTGTGTATTAGACAGATGCGATAATCCAACTACGCTAACGAGGCTTTTGTTGTCAACCGGGTTAAATGGCTGCATCATAAAAAATATTACCAAGTGCGGTCTTGCCTTGCGGCTCGTGGACGCCTGCCCGACTCCGAGTGCCGCGTGCGAGGTTCTGGAATTTTTCTCTGCGTGGGCAGCGGCGGGCGGGCGTCGCATCCGAGCCAAAGCAACCCAGTCGGGCGGCGTGCGGCGGGCGCAGGCCATCCTCGATTTTGATCTTCTCCACCTCGTTGTCCGTCTGCCGTGCTCATCCTCGTCTTCCTCCCCTGCCCTTGACCCCACGATTCCCGTCCAATCTCTCGCCATCCTGCCTCCATCTCCTCAACGCCGCTGCGCAGCTCCGCATCGGCTCGCTCTGACAGTCGCTGCGCCATCGACCTGAGTTGACCTAGACCGACCTGAACCGACCCGACCCCGAAGCGTAGCGTAGCGAACCGCCCCGCGACCCGACGATACGATGGACGACGACAGAGAGACGGCCAGGCTGTGGCGTGTCAACAAGACCATCCACGAGCTCGTCAGAGATAGGGTGAGTGGCCGTTCGAAGTCCGCCGCAGCGTCGACCTTTGCCCATCCGCGCCTTCCGGCCCGCTGAGCCGCTGACCACGCGTGCCATCATCCCCTCTCACTCGCCTCGTCCCCCCCTCTGCAGGGCTACCAAGTGGCGGACGAGGAGTACAACATCGACCTCGAGACGTTCAAGGCCGAGTACGCGCCCAATGGCGGCTCCGTGGACCGCAACCGCCTCAACTTTTTCACCGAGCACTCGCACCTCGAAAACGAGCGCCTCTTCGTCTTCTACTCGACCGAGCGCAACGTCGGCGTAAAGACGATGCGCCAGTTTATCGGCATCATGGAGGAAAAGGACATCAACCGCGGCATCATCATCTGGAGCGACAAGATGACGAGCTCGGCCAAAAAGGTCATTGACGCCATGAAGGACACGTTCCAGCTCGAGGACTTTGACGAGGCCTACCTCCTCGTCAACATCACCCACCACTACCTCGTCCCGAAACACGAGGTGCTCACCACCGACGAGAAAAAGGCGCTGCTGGCGAGGTAGTGAGTGCCCGGCGGCGGCGACCGGCAGCAGCAGCAGCAGATGCCAAGCGGCCCTCAACCCGGCTGACCCGCGTCGTTCGCCCTCCTTTTTGGTCCTCGTCTTGCCTCACAGCCGACTCAAGGACTCGCAGCTGCCGAGGATTCAGCAGGCCGATCCCGTGGCAAAGTACTTTGGCCTCGAGAGAGGGCAGGTAGTCAAGATCACTCGGCGTGAGTTCGATGGCGCCGGCACAGTCATGGTTGCGGCAACGCGAGGCGTACGGCTGGACTGACCATCTGCGCTTGCGCCTTCCTGCACACAGCTTCCGAGACGTCGGGACGATACTGCTCCTACCGCATCTGTCTATGATGGCCCAGTCCCCCCCTCTCTTGTGTCTCAACGCCGAGGCAGCACACAGACACCTCGAGGCCCCGCCGCCGATGGTTCTCTGCGGGCGCGCAGCAGTCGACGAAACAGTGCCGTCAGCACCTGCTGCCGCTGGCTGGCCGTCGGCCAGGATGTGCGCCACGCCCCCCTGTACCATACATTCGCACCTTGTCCCTGATCGATTGCCACGATACTGTCACACACGCCATGCGGGCGCGTCTAGCGGGCTGGACCGAGTCGGGCCGTGCCCTTCCCTTGCCATGTCGATGGTCTCCTTTGCATGCAACCCAGTGGAAGAAGACTCGCACCTCGCCGAGCGAGGACGAGCACCGAGCGGCGAGGCAGGAGAGACCGACGACGGTGGCTCGAATAGGCAGCGTGAAGGTGGGGTCAACATGCCTGAAATGGCGGCGGGCCTGGCGAGTCGGGGGTCGCGCCGGGACTCGGCGGCGGGCTGGACCCCACCGAACCCCCACCGACGCTCGAGCCGACTCGACACCCAAAGACCAACCAACACCCTGCCTTCTGCTCGGCCCTCCGAACTCGAGCCACCATCACCCACCCTCACCTCACCCGTCAGTCTGCTTTCCGTCTTCTCCACTCTACTTTCGTCGTTGCGCCACGCTGGTCGTCCACGATGTCCTCGACGACGACGACGACAACCACAGCAGCGCCCGCGCAGACCCAGCACCCGCTCTCCCAGCCCTCTCCCTCTCCGTCGGGCACGGGTCCGTTGTCAGAGGACGTCGAGTCGGTGGCTAAAAGTACGAGCGGGTATGCGACGGCGCCGTCACAGCGGCATGCCCCGCATGCGTCTGCCTCTACGGCCGTGACGTCCAACACGTCGCCCTCTTACGATCCGTCCAAGCACCAAGCACAACAGCAGTCTCCCACCGCCGCCGCCGCCGCCGCCGCCGTGGCCGTCGGAGGAGGGGGACCGGGAGAGCCAGGTGGTATCGACGGCGGGTCGCCGCAAAAGACGCTCGGGCCCAAATCGAGCTACTACTTTGGCCCGCCGGGCAAGGAGCGGGCGTTTGGCACGCCCCCCTGCGGCGTGATTGGGAGGGACAAGCCGAGGGAGATTGTCAGGTCAGTCCACGACTTGCCGGGGCCGCGAAGATCGATGGAGGGCGGAGTGGCCGCGGAGTGAATGTCATCGACTGACTCGTAACGTCCTGACTGGCTCCTCGCTCCTTCTTGATGGACTATGGTCTCAACAGGATCGAACGCGACTACACGACGGGCGAGCTGCCCCAGTTCCACCCGGCTTTCCCGCTCGAGCTCGAGGGAAGGGTGAGTGCCGATGCGAGCCGAACCGACCCTAGTCCTGATTCCCTGGGCTGCTGTTCCGCTTGAGGAGTTATGGCTGACCCGGTGCCAACACTCGCCCACTGCGCCATCGTCTGCGTCCGCAGATCTCGCCGACGGTCTACTCGGAGCTGGTCAACGACCTCAACGACCTGCTCATCTCGGCCCACGCTCCCGGCCGGACCTGGCTGGACAATGTGCTGGCCATCCTGACGTTTTACCTGTCGCCCATGGTCCTGGGCACGCACCACGGTCGGGTGAGTGCGCGCTGCGTCCGTCCATCTTTCTGTCTCGGCCCGGACACGCTGACTCTCGCCCTCTTTCCTCACCTGCCGTCCCTCTCCGTCCGGCCTGGGCGATACGACGCAGAAGATGAAGGAGCTGTACGGGTATATCGACGAGGCGAACCGCACCACGCTCAACCCCAACGGCCTCAATCTGCTGCCGCCCAACCGGAGCGCGCTCCTCTTTTTCGAACTCGAGTACTACTAGCCAGACGCTGTCGAACGCCCGCCCCACACTCTCATTCGTACCTACCGCTGTCGGCACGGCGGCTGCAACATGATACCCCGTTTCTCGCTGTCCATTCCAATTTGAAATGTGTCGCTTTGCCTGACGGCGGCTGACCGTTGGTGAAGTCGGCGGGAGGTGAGGAGTGTTGGTCTGTGCTGGTGGCGAGGGAACGAGGGAGCGGCCCCAGACGACAGACAATTTCGGGTTTCGGCGAGCGAGGGCCGGCCAACGCCCATTTTTCCCTGCGAGCCAGCCCTGGGTTGGGCTGTGGAGGCCTCCCTCCCAACTTGGAAGATCCTCCGTGGCCCCGCTCTCCCTCGTCCTGTCCAACACCCACCACCATTTCCTCCTCGTCTAACCCGAATTCGACACTCCGGATCGACAGCGATGCAAGATGAAGGCTTCACGACGGTGACGAGACGGTCGCGGGCCGCTGCGGCCGCCTCGGGCTCGAGACGACGCCGTGCGGCGCCATCGACGCCGTTCACGTACGCTCCTCCCTCCTCTTCTTTCTCTCCTACGGCGGCCTCTCGGATACATCGAGATGAGGGCGGGCAGGATCAAGAGGAGAGGGTCAAGGTACGCGACGACCGTATCAGGGCGATTGAGAGGTGGATCCGGGAGCTCGGAGGCGAGCAAGGGCGCGCCGACGTACTCGGTAGGTGCCTCCCTTTCGCGCACCCACAATGACGACGACGACGACGGCGGCGGGGCAATGAAGCACAGCTCTGATTTCCACTCCCTTCACGTCCCTCCCTCACCTGTGCTGCCGACAGAATCGATCCGTACACTATGGCCCGTCACCCCTCCTCCCTCGTCATCATCGAGCAGCACCTCCCACCCCTCCCCGGGCGGGATGACGGCGGTCCCAACGCGCATCCTCGCCCTGGGCCTCGGCAGCCTAGTCGATTCCAAGAGCGCCCAGATTCAACTGGCCCTCCTGATCCTCATCGTACGGCACCTCCAACGCCTCCTCGACGACGGCGACGACGGCGACGACGACGACGACACCACACCCACCTCCGCCGCCGCCGCTAGGAAGAGGATAAGGGTATCGGCGTACGATCCCGTCTTTTCCGCCCTCGACGGCGAGATCCTCGCTGCGTTTGGCGTCGAGCGCGAGCAAGAGGACAGAGGTGGCAGGTACACGTTCCGGGACGCCGTCGATGGGCGGCGGCGGCACACGACGACGCTCGTGTACATGCCGCACTGCGGGCGCAGACTGTACGACCGCATCCTCCGATCCAACTGGACTCCGGACGCGCTGCGCAACATCGTCCTGCTCTGCAACAGCCTCGACCGGTACTGCGACACGATGCCCGCGCGCAAGATGCGCCTCGAGTGCCAGGCCCTCGTCCGCTTCGGTGAGTACCTCGTTCTCCTAACCCTATTACCCCGCTGTATGGTGGCCCAACGACGGAGCAGAGACCTGACGTCGTCGCGCTTCGCCGGTCGCGAGGCTAGTCGAGAACTCGACCGCGATCCCCCTCACCCTCCCCCCGACACCCTCCCACTCGCCGATAGCCGAGGCGCTGAACGACCTGGCGCTCCAGTTCTGGAACTCGGGCGTCGACCTCCCCGCGCCGCTGCCCGCGATACAGACGGGCGGCGGCGGTCGTGGAGCGTCCAAGAAGAATCGACGGAGAGGCGGCGGCGGCGTCGGCGCCAGCCCTGATGCTGGTGCGGCCACGCAGTCACCGTCAGTCGCTGCACGATCGGATGGGGACGCGAACGGAGACGACAGAGAGGCGACGACAAGTCAAGGGAAGCGGCAAGACGACGGCGATGACGGCGCCGACTTTTGGACGCTTTGCGACGAGCCGCCCGTTGCACTCGACGCGGAGGGTGTCGAGATCCTGCACTGAGCACGCAGCGTGGTGCAGATGGGCCGACGAGACTGAGCAAGCAAGCAAGCAAGCAAGCAAGCTTGTATTCCTCTATCATGACGACGACGACGACGACATGGGATCTTCCGGGACCACCTAGACGACCAGCGCCAGCCCGGACACGGCCACGGCCGCGACGAGGGAGACGACGAGGCGCGCTGTCCCTTGGCGGCGCGCGCCGTTGCCCTGACCGAAGCTCGGGTAGATGTTGCCAAGGGATCCCTGTCCGTTTGTCGAGTTGAGGGCGTTGAAGCCAATCATTTTTGCGCGGTCGTTCGAGGCGAGGTCGTTGCAGTCTGGGATCTCGCACGCCTCGGCGCCCGATACGGTCGACTGGATGCGCAGGTAGCACGTCGAGTAGGTGGCGTAGACGCAGCACGTGTTGATGATGCCGTTGCTCCAACTGTGTCGTTGTGACGAGGGGGATAGGGAGAGGTGGAGCGGCGGTGGTGAGTAGGGAGGGATGCGGGCGCGATGGAACGAGGATCGGGTGTGAGAGGACAGGGGTGGCAGGGTGGACTCACGAAGCCTGCTGGTTGACGCTGAGCTTGTTGGTCATCTGACACGAGCCCTGGTTGGTATCCGCCGAGACGGTGGCATCGCCACCTGCCGCCGAACCCGCCGAGGCAGTCGATGCCGGAGCGCCGGCCGACGACGATGCCGAAGCCGATGTCGAGGCCGATGCTGATGCGGGAGCGGGGACGGGTGCCTGTCGAGCTACGAGGTGTGGTGCGTGATGAGGATCGGATGCGGATGCGGACGCGCTTGCGGACGAGGATAGGAGCGAGACGAGGAGGAGCGCGAGCAGGAGCGCGAGGTGGTGCCACTTCATCCTTGCAGTCGTCAAGGTCGCAGTTGCGGTTGTTTTGAGCCCACTCAAGAGTAGGGTGGAATAGGGCAGCGAGGACGAGCGTACGTGTGTTGGATCGAAAAGACGAGAGACGAGCAGAGCCTGTATGCGTGGGGGCGGGTAGACGGGTCGAAGTGTGGGGTCAAGGAAGGTATGTATGTGCGCGGGTGGAATCGCGGTGCAGAGATGGTCGGGACGGTCAACGAACGGGTGGAGGACGAGAGAGAAGGGGAGAGGCAGGTGTGGGGAAACATCGACGTTGCGCGGGGTGCCGTCTGTATGTACCCACCTCGTCCGTCCGTCCGTCCGTCTGTCGGCCAAGTTTAGCCAAGCCAAGGCCAAGGCCAAGCAAGGCCAAAGTCGGAGCGTCGACTGGAGGGCCGGGAAGGCAGGGGGGGGATGCAAAAATGCCCCGCTGCGCGCGGGCAGCAAGGCACGGGGGCGGGGCGGTTGGACCCCTACATCCAGGCCCGTTGCCCGCCTGCCCTCCTCCGCTGCGCGCAAGAAACTCTGCCACAGAGTCGACCTCGCCGTCCCCCTTCTTCCCGGCACGGCACGGCATGGCACGGTACGGTATGGCCAGGCAGGCCAGGCATGGCCAGGCGGGGCGACGCAAGACGAGGCGAAGCCGGACAGTCGGTCGGTCGGTCGGTCGGCATCTGCCGCTTCGACTTCTGGTTCCCCGCCTGCTGGGGCCGGCTTCCACGTCGCAGCGTCGCAGCCGCACCGCGCGATGCCCATTCTTCCCCCTCGCTTGGCAGGCAGGCATCTCGCTCGCCAAGCAAGCCCAGCCCAGAGTAGAGAGAGAGAGAGAGGTGTGCGACAAAACAAACGAACCACCACGTCGGGCCCAACTTGGCCTGCCCGTGTTCCTGACTGCCCCCTCCTCCTCCTCCTGCCGGCTCACAAACAAAGGGCAGCGCGCGCGCGGGGTCCATCTCGCGATCGATGCCAGGCAGAGAGGGGCGCGGGTCCCCGGCGTTTGCCTGGCCTGGCCTGGCCTGTCCATTCACGATTGTGGCCGTCTCCCTTGCTGACGCGGGCGCAGCGAGCTAGGAATCACGGGGGTCCCCGCGTGCGACTACTGCCGCCCTTACGATGCTCATCACGACCCCTGCCTACTGTTGGCCAACGAGAACCCCACCTTCGCGCCAGCGCCACTTCATGTACGCATCTCCGCCTCGCCGTGTCATCGTCGAATTCATATGCCTTTCGTGGCCGGCCGGGCAGGCCAGCAGAGAGCTCGTACGGTCCGGCTAACTGGGCCCGACGCCGACGGGTCAGGGTCCACCACTGACAGCTTGACCAAGAGACAGAGGTCGACCCGGCGGCCTAGCGTTGGTACCGCCTTGCTGCTTCCTCGACCACCGCAGCAGCGCCACCCTCACTTGTCGAGGTCAAGCACCACCCTGCCGGCGATGCGGCCCTGCTCCATGTCCTCAAACACGGCCGGCAAGTCACTGAGGCCCAGCACCCTGTAGCGCGCCCTGACCTTGGCCGTCGCCGCAATCTCGAGCGCCTCGATGGCCTCCTGGCGCGTGCCCACGTAGCTGCCCGCCAGCCTCAGGTTGTTCAACACCGTATCAAACACGCCCGCCCGGATCACGGCGCCGCCAGGCAGGCCAACGGCCACCAGGATGCCGCCCGGTCGCAGAAACTTGAGCGCATCCTCGTAGGCGGCACCGCTGCTGGCGGCCACGAGGGCTCCGTGCGGTCCCTTGCCGTCCGTCGTGGCCCTCTTGACGTCGTCGACCAGGTCCTTGGTCTGCCTGAAGTCGATAAACGTCTCGGCGCCCAGCGACTGGCACAGCTGCCTCTTGTCCTCGCCCGTGTCGACGGCGACGACGCGCAGCCCAGAGTAGACGCAGTACTGGATCGCCAGGTGGCCCAGGCCTCCGCCGGCGCCCAGGATGGCGCAGAACTGGCCGGGCACCAAGTCGGCCCTGCGCAGGGCCGTGTACACCGTCACGTCGGCGCACAGGATGGGCGCCGCGTCCTTCAGGCTCAGGCCAGCGGGGATCGGGCTGAGGTGCTTGGCGGCCGCCACGGCATACTGCTGGAAGGTGCCGTCGCGCGAGAAGCCCTGTGGAGTGTGATGCGACACGGGCGGTGAGGGGCGGACAGTGTCAGTCAGTGCCGGGCTCTCATTGCGACGGCGGCAGCATTCGAGGAGCGCCGCCTTGTTTTGTCCTGCACGTACCGAGCACTGTCAGGCGGCGGCGGGGCAGAGGGGGGCAAGCAGTGTAGAACGAGAAAGAAGCATGTCAGTCAGAACCGTGTCAGCCTCGTACGGACGCTGCCAGACCGTTGTTTGGCCCGCTCGCTCCTCGACTCACCTCTGCCTTGTCGCAATTGGGCTCGAGTCCTCGTCGGCACGAGTCGCAGGCGAGGCACGAGTCGGCGAGCCACTTGATGCCGACGCGGTCGCCGATGTCGACAAAGGCGTCAGCGCCCGGGCCGAGGGCGACGACGACGCCGGCGCCCTCGTGTCCGCCGACGAGGGGCAGCTTGCTTTCGATGGGCCAGTGGCCCCGCAGCACGTGGTGGTCGGTGCCGCACACGCCCGTGTAGATGAGCCGGACGAGCGCCTCGCCCGGCTTGAGGCCGCGCGGCGTGGGCGTCGCGACCATCTTGATCTCGACGGGTCCGCCGTGCTGCTCAAAAACCGCGGCGCTATGGTGCGTAGGGATCGTGTGGATCGACTCGCGCGCATCGATGGTCGGCTGCGGCTGCGTGCTGGTCTCAGGAGTGGATGAGGACATGGTGGTGGTGAGGTGGTTTGGTGGTGAGGGTGATGCGCTCGTTCGGCGTGGTAGACAAAGTCCGATGAGAAGGGTTGTAAAGGGCCCAAGGGAGTGTTGGCGATGGCTGTGTTGGTGGCGGTCGTGGTGGCGGCGATGGTGATGGCGGGAATGGATCGAGATGCCTAGCCGCTGACCGCCTCGACCCGCGCGCTCCTTATAGGCAGGGGAGAGGGGGGGGACAGCGTCTCGCTGACCGGCCTGGCCTCATCGCTCTGCTGCTGCCTGGCGCTCGAGCCAAGTCCGGCCTGTCTCTGTCTCGCCTCAGCTCCAAAGCAGCCCTGGATCGAGAGCAGGCCGCTATCTTCCTCTCGCATGGCTCAGCCAGAAGTCAGAGTCAAGCAGCCTGCTGGCAAGCTGGGAGGACGTCCGGCGGCCTCGGATGATCTCGTCGTGCGGCGGCGGCGTCGAGATGGGTATGTCTCTGCTCGGCTGCCCGGTCTGGCCAAGGCTGAGTCGGTCGCGGCATTCGCTGGCCCTAGTCTGACTCAGGCCTGCTCACTGGCCCACCCCCCCCTGTCAGGGCAGGCCGACTACCGTCCTCGCCTGCTCAGCCGCACCTGCTTCTCGTCACTTGGCATATGCATCGGCCTGGGTCCATCAGCAGAGGGAGACGTACGTGGCCTGCCTGTGCTTGGCGCGGATCGAGGGACCGATCGCAAAAGCAAGCCGCCCGTCCGCCCGCTCGCCAGGGCCGGAGCGATCGTCGTCTAGCCTCGACCGAATCATGCAAGCGGGCCAAACAGGGCGGGATGCCATGGGGGGCTGCTGTCGATGATTAGATATAGATTGACATTCTGACTCTGAGTGTATGGTTTGTACGTGTAGACGGGAGACGTGGGGGGGTGTGATGAGGATGGACGAAAAGCGGCGAGCGAGGATGCTACAGCCGTCAGCCGAGGTCGGCGTGCGCCATGGACACGGGGTTCGCGCGGACAGGGTTGCAGTGCCGATAGAGAGAGGGAGAGAGGGGCGCAGATTGGGAAAGGGGAGGAAGGCGGGTAGTTTGCGATGCCGAGACTGGGCTGATTGCGTGGATGACGGGATATGGATGCCAAAGAGGGGTAAAACGCCTGGAGCGAATGGATGGGGGGTGGTGAGGAGGAGCCGGGCATGCTGCGTGACGACGGCGACAAAGAGGGAGCATAGCAGTCCGAACGGCCGTGACTTGGGAAAGGGCGCCAAAAACGGGAAACGAGGGGCGAAGAAGCCGGCGACGGGGCAAGAGTCTAGGGACACGACGAGGCCAGCCACGACACGGCGCGGCCATGCGATGCGATGCGACGCGACGCGACACGACGCCAGGCCAGGCCAGGCCAGGCCAGTCCACGAATGCCGCGCTCACGATCGGTCAAAGGCGAGCTGGGCCAGCACGCGGCTGACCTCGTCCATCGTCGTCGGGTCAGGCGCCGGCGTGTTGGCCGGAGGCAGCCGCGAGATGCTCGAGGCAGGCGCGTGGTGGTGGTGGTGCGAGTGCGAGTGGTTGTGCAGCGCGGCGTGGTGCAGCGAGTGGTGCGGGTGGTGGGAGCCACCGATGCCCGGAAAGCCGCCGCTGGTGCCGTTGCTGCCGCTGCCGCCGCTGCCAACACCGCCCGAGCCGATGGCGCCAAGCGTGTAGGGCGTCGCCGGCGTCGTCGTGGCACCTCCACCACCCATGCCGAGCGCCGACTGCTGCGCGGCGAGTGCACCAATGTCGAGGCTCTGCGCCCGGTGGGCAAACGAGCGCGGTTTGCGCAGCGCCTTGACCCGCTCCTCCATGCCAAGCGCCTCGGGCCCGCCGCGGTAGGCCAGGTTGAGGTCGTCCGACAGGCGCGGGTTGTGCTGAGGGAACTGGATCCCACCGCCGTTCACAGGGGTCGTGCCGGCGGCAGCAGCAGCAGCGGCAGCAGCCGGATTCATATTCGCGGCGCTGGCCGCCCCGCCGGGCGTACCGATCGGCTGGGCCACGTTGGGTGCGGTGCTGCTGCTGGTGCTCGACGAAAAGTGGCGGGGAGCGCCCCAGACGTCGCTGCCAAAGCCGCGACCGTTGCCGTAGGGCGACGGGTAGAGCGACGAGGCGATGAGCGGCGAGTTGGCCGCCGTCGTCGTCGTCGTGTAGTTCATCCCAGGCGCGCCGTGGTGGCCGCCGGGCGAGTCAAAGAGCGCCTTAATGTCCGGCGTCGAGGCGGCCGCGCGGAGGCGGCGCTCGTGGGCGCGAGCCTGCT